ATAAATCCTGGGTTGTCTCACACCTGCTGTGGACAGTCTCCAATGCGAGTCACTGTGTTTAGTCTGCGATCACTTTTGGGTCACAGTATGTGAAATATGCCTCCATCCACATTATGTGACGACTAAATCTGTCAGTGAAGCCATTAATTGCAATGCTATATGGTTTCAGTTTATCATAAGAATCCATATGCCACAGTGTGTTGGACCCCCTGCTGTTGTACTGCCAACGTAAATTTTCATCATTTTACCGCAGTTGTAAGACTTCTTTATCGTGTCGGAGTTCTGATAATACGACAACTTTATTCTCGTTCGTAATGTAATTTTTTTTTCTTAGCGTGGCCCTAATATGCCGTCGTACAAAAGTACACAGCAACTAGCAAATAAAAATAATTTAAACTGAATGAGAAGAATGGTGGTTTAAACTTAAGAAAGCTTGTTTTGACAAATGTTTACTCCTTCAAATTAAACATGTACTTCTGTCTTTTTTAGAGAAAATGACAAAAAGCCTAATGTAAGGACAATTTATGGCATTACAAGTGTCTGTAAAGATACATAGCACATTAAAACTGGACTGTGGTGGGGCTCTAAATGTTCTCTGTTCTGGTCTTTGGACATCACATAACAGGAATTATTAACTGTAAAATATGAACCTGAGCTGCATTTCTTGGAAATTCCTTAATTATCAGATTGCTAAAGTTTTCAAATTGCCATTTGATAAGAACATAATTAAATTTCTGAAATTCTGTTCTGGTTTTTAATTTTGGTGGGCCACACCAGGATTTTCAGTGGGCCCCACATGGTCACCCAATTAATAAATTTCTGGAGGCACCACCGAGTGTCATGCAAAATGGCGTCACATTCATATTGTGTATGCTGTTCAGTGTCAGGAGGGCTGTGATCAGTCTTACATCGGGGAAACTAAACAGCCACTGGCCAAAAGGATGGCCCAGCACAGAAGATCAACATCATCAGGCCAGGACTCTGCGGTCTACACTCATCTCCAGGCCAGCGGTCACTCTTTCAGGGATGAAGATGTTCACATCCTGGACAGAGAGGAACGATGGTTTGAGAGAGGAGTAAAGGAGGCCATCTTTGTGAAAAGAAACCGTCCATCATTAAACAGGGGCGGAGGCCTCCATGTTCAACTGTCCTCCTTTTACAATGCTGTTATTGCTAGTATCACTCAGACTCCTGTGAATAGTAAACAGCCATCAGAGCATTAGCAATCGATTGTTAGGCTGATGGTCCTTCTTTTACATGTGAACAGCTAGTTTCGGCTGTCACCAGCAAACTGGTTAATCCACTATGAGAAGGTTCTGCTCATAAGACAGAGTTTGTTGCAGCTCCTCAGACTGAGGAAGTCTTTTGAATAAAAGATGAAACATTTCAACAAACAAGAATCCGCCAAGAGGACCTGACTCGACCTTGTGTTATGCTCACAGCTCAGATTGTGAATGACTCTCAGCTACTACCATACCAAAATTTAGCACAGTGTGTGTTCAACTGAATGAATTAAAGCAATTTTGGTGTTTAATAAGTGACTCCTATATTTAATTAATTGTAGATGAACATCCATTGATTGTTTTCTGAAAGTTTCATTAAATGTAACCAGTAGTTCATGAGATATTTTGCTAACAGATGTACACATGAACACAAGCAAACACACACAGGAGCAAAAACAGCATCTGCCTTTGCCTTTTGGTGGTGGGGGATAAGAAAAACAAAGAGCACATTCACAAAGAAATTGTGGTTAAATACAAGCACAAAGAGCAGCGGCAGCAGCTAGCTGTAGCACATTGGATGCGTCCTAAGACGATTCAGGCAAGGACCATAACTGATGCCATAAAAAATTTATAAAATGACACTTGCATGAACTTCACTTTGGTCCCGGCCCTGCTCAGACGAGCTGGGAGCTCATTTATTTGTTCAGAATTAAACTACAGCAGTCCCTCGATTATCACGGGGGACCTGAAGCCCCGCGATAAGTGAAAAATCGTAGTACAAGTAGTACAAGTAATACAAGTAGTAGTTTATTTTAGTATTTATATACAGTATATATAATGTATGTATATTTATATGTATAAAGACATTTTAAACACTTCCCACACTCTTGCAATATTCTAAACAATGTTTCTAAACTCAACGCTCTAAAAGAGCACAATGTCATGATTTCAGCTCCCTGCCTCTGGTTGCACTCTTGGCCACGCCCACTTCTCCGACGATCAGCTGATCTCTGTGCAGAGCTGAGATCAGCTGATCAGCTGCAGGAGGAAGCTTCTCCAACAGTTGTGGGCTGCACACAGATGCTAAATAATTAAAAATAATTAATTTTAAATAAAATTCCATGCTGATCGTGCGGCTCGTCCATCAATCCGTCAGTTGTGTGTCATGTCTTACTTTGAAAAACCGCGATAGAGCGAGTCCACGAAAAACAAAACGCCAAGTAGTGAGTATTGTATTTCTCTAAACTGAGGTTGCTTAAAAAAACATCTACAACAGATAAGATGATAACTGTGAATAATCTTTGTAAATGATCTGAAATATCATCTTTTTAAAGGTTTACTTTTCCTCAACATCATCAAAATCCAAAATGCACAGCATCATGACAGAAATAAATGTGGCCCCCTACACAAACTTTGCATGTTATCTAGGCAGTAGTACACGGTTTGTTTTAGTGTATCACTATTTTTTTAGTAGTACTTGAACTTATAGTGCTTCTACAGTCAGAACAGTGCTGTCAGACAGTATGCACCTGGGCTCGAACAATTTAAAATGTGGGCACTTCCTAGTTCAAGCAGAGTTTTTGGAATTCAGAATGCAGAGAGTTTGGGAGTTCCAGAATGCAAACGCTGGCATTCAGGATGCTGTATTAGAATCAAGCTGAACCAGAGACGATTTTGGGAATTATAACTTCTGTTTGGATAACCTCACACGACTCTCGAGGTATTTAGCTGTTCTCACGGAGACGCTGAACAGTGGTTGGAAGTGAGACTCCACGCCGGAACTGATCTATCTTCAGAAAAGGTAAAAGTCGACCTTCACCAAAAGTGTACTGTTGGGACAAGCTGATTTCCAAAAGAGCGTGCTGTTCTGGTTAAAACAGACAAATTCCCTCACACATCTCTCTGTAAGATAAATCTCAATTTTCCATCTTTAAACTCTCCTATCTGCTAGAAAATTAATCCAGATGTTTTCAGAAATGTCTGTGGTGAAGCAACGGAAAATCATGGCCGTATGGTTTTCCTGGTTGTAAAGCTGATTAATTATGTTGTTGTTTTCATATTCTGCCAAATTAATGTAAATGTTTGATGTTAAACTTTGATTCTGTAAATAAATGACCTCCATTCATTTTGATGGGTCAAAGATAAATAACGTCTCACGTTAAACTTATTACATTTCTGTTAAATTCAAAGCACGACATCATACAGTCCAGAAAGATGAGTGAACCCGTTTAATGTATGAATATATCTCTCCATATGTCATACTACAATAACCATGAACAAATAATAATATTAATCCTAAAATGTATATTTATCTTACTGACAAACCTGAAATGCTCCGTTAAAGCAAAGCGCAAACACCAAGCAAGAGCTCATATGCTTTTGACCAAATGTTTAAACATTAGACACTTTTCCTTAAAGAGCTAGTTATTAATATTTGCTGCTGGAACAGGTCTTTCTGATTTTAGGACTTCTGTGAAACTCCGATTGTTTTCTGCCACCTGATGCAGAGAAGCAGAGGCTCATGTCAGCACTAAGGCTTGTGTAAGTGTAAAGGCAGACGATTTGTTGTAGAGGTGGGAGGGCATCGGGTCAATCCCTGAGCACCGTCTCTGATCGTTGGGGGGTACGGTTTCCAGATGCCTCACAAGACTGGCGTGAATCATCTGTTAACGTGTCTTAATAAGGCCCCGAAAAGAGCGAGGTGGTGTAAGGATAACAATGCTGCACCGGCCTGCTGGACACCAAGCTGGTTTTCATAATGAACACTTGATCCGTTTGGTACAAGAGCCACAAACCCTGGCTGTCAACAGAGGGATCGGGTTTCTGTGGCCGGGGAGGTGAGATCCGGAAACATCCATGAAGACATTTATTGGGTCGAGGACACGAGGCACTCAAAACATCTGTGTGTGCATCATATTGCTTGTAATAAAGGAAATATGATCTCTCCTTCTTCAGACATAGTAAATGAAAGGTTTATGGACAAATATTACATTTTAAGAGGTTGGACAACTAAGCTGGCTTCTTTTCAGCGGGTACACATCCTGTGTTTTGAATCATAACAAAGCTGAAATGCAGGTGCAACGATCACTTTTAGCAACGTTTTTAATGAATCTCAAGGTTTACAGTTTAGCGGGTTGTCAGCTTTGTTTTGTACACGTGTTAAAATAAAAACATATATGTTGTGAAAATGCCTGTCTACTTTAAATCATTACTGCAATAAACACCGGTCATCATAAAAATGAAATGAAAGCAACCGACACAATGAATTATTCAACTACAAATGTGAGTAATATGAAAAGGCATTGTGAACTGTAAATGTTCTGCTGAACTCCCCAAACTAAGACTTTCCATCACACTGTTCGAAGCAGTCCCAGAGAAACCCAGAGTTGTACACACAAGTTGTTCACGGCCCAAGGTCACACTTTGTGCTGCCAAAAATAGTGAAGCACTGCCTCGTCCCAAGTGCAACACTTTGTCTGATGATATGTTTGGACACTTTGACTGGAAGTGGATTCTTAAAGATCTGTAAAAAGACGTCTCTCATGGGAGACAACCCCCCACTCGTCCTTCAACTCGTTGTCCTCGTCAGAAGTTAGTGGTCTGTTCTCAGAGAAGATAAATTATCGGGGGAAATTCAACACGTGACATAAAACATGGGGAGGGAATATGAACGCAGTGGACACACTGTGCTGTAAAAACTACTGACACATGTTGATGTGTCACAGGAGGGTATTGAGAAAAGTTTCACGTTTGAAGACGTCCTGTACAGACTTGTCCTCACAGCACCAACCTGTCCTCCCCTCCTTCCTGAATGACCCGACCAATAGAAACCTGGTTCTGTGCCTTTATGAAACACTGCTTCTTGCATTCCATCAGCTGCTCCAAGTCACGCCACATCTTCATCTGCTCCATGTTGGCGCCGTGATTCTCCCTCACCAGCTTTTGCTCCTCACGTAACTTCTGGAGGCCAGAAAAAAAGTTTTTAGTAAGAAGAAGCCACACATCCTGTACAGCCGAAACCAGATGTTTACATGCACTGTCTGACATGAAGTCAGACTAAACCTTTCCTGTTTTAGATCAATTAAACCTAATATTATTTCTGTTTGTTAAATGCTAGAATAATGACATCATATTTTATTAGTCTTCAAAGTCACAGGTTTCCATACATGTTCTTAGTATTTTGTAACATGTAGGTTTTAGTTTCCTTCTACAAACTTCTCACTCTAGTCAACTAGTTTTGTCCCATTCCAGTTTCCATTCTTAGTAATTAGATATTTTCAGGTAAGACAAGAATATTTACTTATTTGAAATGTAAACTTATCAATTTAGCTTTTGTTTAATGGTGTCATTGTGACATCAAGTGTATAGTATGTACAAACACATCATCTATATTTATTTAAATAATTACTAACAAAGATCCACAACCACATTCTGTTTTACATTCGATCGCTCGCTGTAGACCCGTTGAGGCAAAATTTCACCTTTTTATTGCAGATATCTGTGATACAGCTCTATATGACGTGTTCAGTAAGCCTTCTGACAGTCCGCTGACTTTGTTCTTGACTGAATAAAAAATACTTCCAAGAATTGCTCCCCTTGGTTGTGATGAGTCAGTGCATAGAAATGCTTTTCTCACCTTGCCAAGTAACTCCTGTTCTGCAATGTTTTTCATGTACACATCCCTACAAAAAAGAAGCAGTCAGTCAGATACCATTTATCACGCGGTGTGCTTTTAATTAAAGGTGTCGTACATCAGCACCACGTTTTTGCACAGCCTGGTAATCTGACCATTTTTTTGCTGGGAAGTAGTGGCATCAGGTGATGTCACCTGGTAATCAGAGCTTCCTGTAAATTAAAAGGGTTTTCTTTCAGGAAGCAGCTGGCTGGCTGAGCTCGGGCTCACCTGATGGTCTTCTTCCTCTCCTGTGGATCAGAGGACACATAGGCCTTCATCTCCTCAGCTGCCCGCTCCATTTGCATCTCAATAATCTGCAGATGAAAGAAATGCAAAGACAGAGCTAATGTTGCTGTGGGTGTTTGGGCAGGTTTCATGCAAAGTGTTGCAAATGTTATCAGTAGGCACATTTGGAATCTGAAATTATAAGTAAAACACGTAGTGCGACTCATGTTGAAATGAATGAACCTTTTTTGTTGACTCATGTTGTCCTGTAAGTAACATGGAAACACTTGCCTCTGACATGGAGTTTATATGATGGTACCGGTTTTCATTCTGCGCCACCTCCTCCCTCAATGCTTTCACCTCCTGAGAATAAACACAGACAATATATTTCATCACTGCAGGAAACAAGATAAACAAACTCATATAATACAAATGAGAAATATGTGAATGGTACATTTAAACTCCTAATACTGTGTGTCCATTACAAAGGAAGAACAATAACTATACCAGTTCCAGTTTAGATCTGTTGCTTTCCAACCCAGCAGCACAACTTTCATACTGCGTCTTCTTTTCCTCGTACTCCTGACTCAGCTCCTGTTATGATCGCAATCCCACGCAGAGTACAAAAGTAAATGAGACATACCCATTACCAAAGATCGTACATTGGAACTGCGATAGAAACAGGAAATCATCCTGTTTGATTTCAGAATAATACATCTGATAACTTAGTGAATAAACTAACAGCAGACTCTTATAAAATCTGTTTGTCTTCCTGCTGCAGCTCTTTATTAGTAGCCATTACTCAGTAAAGTGGAAGAGTAATTCTGGGAACACGTGTAGGAAAACTTCATCCTCTGCTTCAGCTCAGTGATGTGTGTGTGTGTGTGTGTGTGTGGGGGGGGGGGGGGCTTTCCCATTGTGTGTTTTATTTATGGACAATGTAAATTATTCTTAATGGACATCGTTCGGTATTATGAACAAAACAAGTTAAGACTCTGCTTGTTTGCACTCACAAAATCACATCCAAACTTTTATTGAAACATTTATGAAAGCGTTCTCTCCTCTGAAACTTTTCAGTCAATAACAGAGTTAAAGTAAAAAAAACCTAACATTGTTTTCAAGTCTGACTATGATATATTATGATGGATAAATGTGTTATATCTCATATTATATCAGTCATTCAAATGTAATGTCTATTACATTCCAGTGTAAACCAATAGAGAAAGCCTTTGGTCTGGATCCATATTTTATTTGATTTTTTACAGAGTTGGATATGAAGCAGAGACAAAACCCCAGTTTTTATTACAACACATAAAAGTCTGCTTTAACGGCTGCAAGTGATCATTTGTCTTCATGTTAGAAAGATGAAGTCTTAGATGATACTTACCCCTCGATGCTGTCTTAGGGACCTTAGCTCTGTAATAATTGGTGCAAGAGCCGACTTTTTCTCTGCTATCATTGAGTTTAACTTCTTCACCTGGAAAACGTCACAACACACACTGAATTAAAGCTGGAAAAAAAAAAAAACAGGTCTTAAAACTGAGAAAAACAGCACAACTCTAAAACGTCTAGCCACAAACATTCAACAACTTCAAAAGACGTGAAAACTGCAAGATGTTTAACATGTTCAGCTTCAAGATAATGCTTGAGTTGATTTAGTATTGGGGATGTCTGAGATCATGTCAACAACAGAGGTGCTCTCATCTTTTCCAATTAAACTGCAAGAAGAAACTAGAGCTGAGAAGAGTTGCGCTAAATCCATCTTTTAAAGCAGACACACCTATAGTTAAAAACAGGCATATCAATGATGGCTGCATCTCATTTAGAAGAAATCCTTTATTTACAGCTGCATGCACGGTGACTCAGTTGGTAGAGCTGTTGACTCTCAGCAAGAAGGTCGCTAGATCAAATCCTGGCCAGGTCCTTTCTGGGTGGAGTTTGCATGTTCTCTCCGTGCAAAGAGTCACTAATCTAGGCGTGATAATGGACCCTTCCCTGAAGCTTAACAATCATGTAAACATGATTAAATCATGTTTCTTCCAACTGAGGCGGCTGTCTAAACTGAAGCCCATATTATCCAAAAAGAACCTGGAGACAGTAATACATGCATTCATTACATCTCGGCTTGATTACTGCAATTCACTCCTGTTTGGTATCAGTCAAACCTCCATTGCACGACTACAACTGGTCCAGAATGCAGCAGCCCGATTTTTAACCAGTACAGGCAAAAGAGAGCACATTACACCAGTTTTGGCCTCACTGCACTGGCTACCGGTTCACCTTCGAATCAAGTTCAAAATACTTCTGTATGTCTACAAATCACTGAACAGTGTCGCGCCCCCCCCCCCCCATCTCTCTGAACTGCTACAACCGTATGTCCCTCCACGTTCTCTGAGGTCAGCGGACCAGTTGCTCCTCACAGTTCCAGGAACTCGTCTTAAGTGCAGAGGTGACAGGGCCTTCTCTGTAGCAGGACCAAGACTTTGGAACGAGTTACCTCTGCTTGTCAGACAAGTCCCCTCCTTCTCGGTTGTCAAGTCCCGTTAAAAAACCCACTACTATTCAGTAGCTTTCAACACCAGATGATCTGTGTTTTGATCCTGTATGCTCCACACTGGTTTGTCGTCATTATCTGCATCGTTTTTATGTCTATATTCTGATTTACTTCATTTTGTATTTTGCTTTGTGCGTTATCTGTTGTTCTGTCTGTACAGCACTTTGGTTGGCCTTGTCGCTGTTTTAAGTGCTCTATAAATAAAACGGTATGGTATGGTGCATGTGTGGGTTTTCTCCTGGTACTCCAGTTTCCTCCCACAGACCAACAACATGCATGTTAGACTGATTGGTAACTCTAAATTGTCCCTAGGTGAGAGTGAGAAAGTGAATGGTTGTTTGTCTCTATGTGTCCCTGTGATGAACTGGAGACCTGTCCAGGGTGTCCCCCACCTCTCGCACAGTGACTGTTGGATATGAGCACCAGTGACCCCCGTGACCCGAAAAGGAAGAAGCAGGTAAAGATAATGGACAGCTGCATTCAGAGGTTTAGACCTTTCATTGTGGCTTGGGTGTCATACTAATTTGGGACTTTTAATATTTAATTTGAACTGCTGTCTTAACAAGGCTGGTATAAAAACCTTAAAGTGGGAATTAGTTGCATAGTACGGGTAATACATTAGAGAACAGTGACTTAGATGATTTAGCTGATCATTTTACAACTTCAGTGCAAACTTCACTTGATAAAATTACTTTGCTGAAAAGAAAGTAATCAATCAGAGAAAACTGGCTCCTTGGTTCAATTCTGAGTTACATACCAGGCATCTAGAAAGCAGAAAAGAAAACGGCACTCCACTAACATGGAAGAATTTTATTTAACTTGGAAAGATAGTCAGCTAACATAAGAAAGCTCTCCGTAAAGCTAGAACTTTATATTACTCATCTTTAATAGATGAGAATAAAAATAATCCTAGGTTTCTGTTTAGTACTATTGCTAGACTAATTAAAAGTCCCATTTCTGTTGAACCATGTATCCCTACAACTATAAACAGTGATGACTTCATGAGATTCTTTACAAATAAAATTATTTCAGAGAGAAAATTCAAACCATCCTTCCTTCTACTATCTCTAGTCCTCTGTCAAATGAGACAACTTTGGACAGTTTTGTCCTGTTGAGCTCTCTGAATTGTCGAAAATAATAACGTCATCCAAACCATCCACATGCCTGCTTGATCCCACCCCAACCAGACTGTTTAAAGAGGTATTTCCCCTAATTAATGTCCTCATTTTGGATCTGCTTAATTTGTCTTTAATGAATGGTTATGTACCACAGCACTTTAAGGTTGCTGTAATAAAACCTTTACTTAAGAAGTCTGACCTTGATTCAGAAATTCTGGCCAACTATAGACCTATATCTAATCTAACTTTCATCTCAAAAATTCTAAAGAAAATAGTTGCAGGTCAGTTGCGTGAACATCTACAAAGAAATAATCTGTTTGAAGAGATTCAGTCAGGGTTGAGAGCTTATCATAGCACAGAAACAGCACTAGTAAAAGTCACTAATGATATTCTCATGGCCTCAGACAATGGACTTGTGTCATACTGGTCCTGTTAGACCTCAGTGCTGCATTTGATACAGTTGATCACAATCTTTTACTACAAAGGCTTGAATATGATATTGGGGTTACAGGAACAGCTCTAAAATGGTTTAAATTATATTTATCTGATATATTTCAATTTGTAAATGTAAATAATGGATCTTCTTCATAAAACAAAGTAAGTCATGGAGATCATCAGGACTCAGTGCTCGGACCAATACTTTTTATTTTATATATGCTTCCATTAGGTTAAATCATTCAACAGCATGGGATAAATTGTCATTTTTATGCTGATGATACACAATTATATTTGTCCATGAAACCCAATGAATCCAGTCAGTTACTTAAACTACAAGCATGTCTTAAAGACATAAAAACCTGGATGACTCTTAATTTTCTGCTTTTGAACACAGACAAGACTGAGGTTTTGGTTTTTGGACCTGAGCACCTGAGGAATTAATTATTCAGTCTTTCACTTTCTCTGGATGACATTAATCTGTCCTCCAGCTCTAATGTTAAAAATCTTGGTGTTATTTTTGATCAGGACATGTCTTTTATTCCCCACATTAAAAACGTTACTAGAACTGCCTTCTTCCACCTGCGTAATATCACTAAAATTAGAAACATCTAAAAATGATGCAGAAAAACTGGTCCATGCATTCGTCACGTCTAGACTGGACTATTGCAATGGCTTATTATCTGGATGTCCAAATACTTCTTTAAAACGTCTTCAGTTGATCCAAAAAGCTGCTGCCAGAGTCTTAACTGGAGTTAGTAGGAGAGATCATATTTCTCCAGTTTTAGCTTCTCTCCATTGGCTCCCTGTCAAATCCAGAATTGAATTCAAAATCCTACTTCTAACCTACAAAGCTCTCAACAACCTAGCTCCATTTTATATTTGAGATCTTATTGTTCCATGCATTCCTAACAGAGCACTTCGTTCTCAGGCTGCAGGTTTACTTGTGGTTCCAAGAGTTTCCAAAAGCAGAATGGGAGGAAGATCTTTCAGTTATCAGACTCCTCTCTTGTGGAACCAACTTCCAGTTTCTGTCCGTGAGGCTGACACATTATCCAGTTTTGAGACTGGGATTAAGACTTTCTTTTTTGATAAATCCTATAGTTAGGGTTGGCTTGGGTTTCCTAAGCTATCCCTTAGTTATACTGCTATAGGCTTAGACTGCTGGAGGTTTCTTCTTTTTAAAAGGGAGTTTTTCCTTTCCATTGTTGCAATTGTGCTTGCTCAGGATGGGAGACTGTGACGAAGTGAAGATTCAACTTTTCTGCTGGATTCCTTAGATAAAGAACTTTACTAATTGGCTTTTCTATGTATGTGAATGTTCCTGTAAAGTGCGTTTGTTGTGATTTGGTGCTATATAAATAAACTGAATTGAAATTAATTTGTTGTAGATTTTCTCTAATCCACACGTCAAAACTACACATATAGACTCAAACATTCACACACCTCAGCAACATTTGGTTAAATGACTCTTAGATAGTTGCACGTTTTACATCCATCAACAAGCTTCTGGTAGAAGTCTGGATGATATCTTTGGGCATTCCTGAAGCTGAATGTCAGCCTGATTTATTCAACCAGAAACCAGTACATGGATCCAGTTGGAACATCCAAATGTGTCCAAGTTTCATCTGTAAGCAGTTGATTTAAGGTGAAGCTGAAGATTATGAGGTACTCTCCTTCATTATTCTAGCCACTTTAGGCGATGTACCAGCCCTTCAGCATGATGCTACCTCCACCATGCTTGACAGTTTGTACAGTATTCTTAGGTCTGAAAGCCTCACTGAGACTCCTTCAAACATACTTTTGGTTACTGTAGCTAAAATGTCCTTATCTTGTTTGGCCATAAAGCTTTTCTCCAGGAGGCATTGGATGTTTCCATTTGGGCAGCTAAAAATTTCAGTCATTTGTGAAGGTGTTGCTGTTGGAGCAGGTGGTTCATCTTTGGTCAGCACCATCTCACTACATACTGATGTAAAACTGTCTTCTCTCTTCTCTGAAACACTGGTGTTTCAGCAATTTCCAGTTCATGGCAGACTTGAGCCTTTACTGTTCCAGGGTTGTTTCTGAACATCCCAACCAGTTTCCCCTCTTTCTTAGATCTTCAGTGAGTTTCTTGGACTTTCCCTCGGTTCTGATTATTGGTCAGTCCAATGAGTGCTGCCAAACAAACCCTGACAGAGAGCCACTACTATCTGCATCAACCCTCAGCACTTACAAGAAGATAAAAGGCTTTGGCTATGTCAAGTTCTTTAATATTCTGCACCATTTTTTTAAGTTTTAGGTGAATGCATTTATACATTTGAGCCAATGTGGAAATTTTGACAATAAACTCACAATAAATTTAAAATTTACTGAAGTTGTGAGATCAGTTCAAATAAATAAGCTTAAAAATAAGAAGAGAATTTGACCAAAAAAAAAAGAGTGGATGTAAACTTCTGACCACATCTGTTTGATGTTTATTTGGACACTTCTTGAGGCTTTTCCTTAATGTAAAAAGGTCAACAAATCTGCCATAAACAGGTAGATGGTAAAGGTTCAAGGCAGCCCAACGATAACTCCACGAGTAACTTCTATTGTGGCTTTTGAACAGTTTAATTTTAAAGTCTTGGACCAAAAATAAAATGAAACTGTTTCAAACATGTATGTAATCATTGTTTTAAAGGTTCTGGAAATAATTTGGCTGTTTTCACCATTTCAGACATGTCATCCAGAGTGCGGCCCTTCTTCTCGTCTAGCTCACTCTTGATGGCAGACACCCTCTCCAGCTCCTCCTGGGTGTTACTGTAGCCAGAGATGCCCTTCTCAGCTTCCATGGTTTGCTTTAAAACACAGCAGAAACAGTTGTGTTAGAAAAAACGTCCTCCAAAAAACAACCAATGCTACTTCCTGTGTCCTTTTGCACTTAGGAGTTATAAAGCAACAACCCAAATGAACCATCTTTACCACTACAAGTTAAGAATTATAATTTATCACATTAGCGTGCCACCTGTTAATTAATACTGTGACATAAAAAAAAACGTATAAGTAATGCAAAAAAAAATAAATAAAAAAATCAAGAAATTAAATTACAGAGCAGGGTTCTTATAGAAGAAAAGATGTGATCTAAAGAAAATCTGCCATTGCTTTAAGGAATCCCAACATGGGATGCAGACAGAGGAAAAGCAGCAGATGCAGCCATCAGAAATAGCAGCTCAGCCTGCGTCAGACAGGCCATCAACAAGTCGGGTAATCTGACCACATGAAGGTGTGAAACCTTTTCCAGGAAGCTTCCGTCACTTCACTGTTAAACACAGACTAAGCAGAGAGAAAACAGCTGTCTGAGTGCAAGAAGCTGGTGAATCAAACAGTTTTAATCATAAAAGTAGAAAGGGTTGTAGGTGTTATGAGGGTGTTTTCTGCTTAAATGAGGACTAAATGACATGGTGATTATTATGGGTTCATTTAACGAGCAAACACTGAGCACAACGAGTACAGTTAAGCTCCTCAAACAGTCAACTGTCAGTAAGAAGATACAAGTGCATAAAGAAAAACCCAGGAGATTGCTCAGCCTGTAGCTGTATATGAAATCTACTTCTTCTCACGATATGGACGATTTGATCCATTCTTGAATAAAATTTCAAAACAGGAAGTGAAGTTACCAGTTTCTGCTGGACGGTCTCGTGCCTCCGTTTGAGAACCTCCTCGGTTCTCTGCAGGACTCCATATTCTGCTGTCAGCTCTGCGATTTCCTGCCGTTTCTTCTTGTACACTGTTCCCTTGCTGCGCAGCTTTCCCACCAAACGTTTCAGCTAGAAAACACGCAAACAGGACTACATATAACCTTAATTTAAAAAGAGCAACTGATGTAAGCATAAAATAATAAAGTGATCATCATCTTTGGAGGCGTTTCTGCTGCGTTACCATGACAAGCTCAGAGAAATGTTTTGTTTATACTTTAAATACAATGATTGGAACAGCTTGCAGTATAATTGTACTGTTAACTCAGAAGTGGCTTGTTTCAGTGGAGAGCATGAATGCAGTCTAAATTTGACATCGTGGTGTCCAGCACAGCTGAGATTCTCTGAATGGCCCCAGGAGAAGACAATGGAGGGGAGGGATTAGAGAACAGCAGAGGGGCCTGGGGGGGCCAAGGCATGATCTGAAAGAGACACTCTATCCTTTGAAGAGTTAGCTATGTACAGCAAACAGCTTCATCTGATGAAATAAGTGCTTTGAGTGGATGTTCAGTCAGTCCCCACCCTTGACGTCTGCTGGGACACGCTCAAACTTCTCCACATTGAAGAGTAGCTATAAATGAACATGGACACAGGAGAACAGCTCCAGAAACTGCAGAATGTGCTTCATGTCCTATGGGGATCCATGAAGCCTGGAGTGTGTGCGTGCATGCACTTTTATTCTTTATGTATTTTGGGACATCAAGGGCAGACATGGCAGAGAGAGGAATTAGCACAGCATGGTGTTCCTGACATTGTCTCTCTAAAACAACTGCTGTGAAAGTGGACTGCAGCTCAGTTGCTTGCCATAAAACAGACAGACATCAAATTCACACATTGCCACCATGAAAAGAAGTCATTGTAACAGCAGCACATCCTGAACTTATAAGATCTCCACATTTGGGATGGTGTCTTAACAAAAGAAAGGCTGCATTTAAACATGATGAGGCTGGTTGACAATAACTGTTTCATGTTGCTGGCCCACCGCTGGTAAACAGATATATCCGTGCCCCTCAGAGACCCTGCAGTTGGTCGGTGGCATGTGGTGACACATTGTCATCAGAATGGAAAATACCTCCGATAAAGCGATCATCTCCACTGTGGCTGATGGGCCAAAACTACGCAGGAACCTGATAAGCTGAGTTTGACAAAACATTTTCCACTAACTTTATTCATGTAAAATCTCAAGAGCCTCTTTGTCTGTACAAACAGACCCCCCCACCCCCCCACCCCCGAGATTTAAGTCACACTTAAAAGACATACATTTATTTTGCATGTCCTGTCATAGAAAACAGATACAAGTTAATTAAAAAAGAAGCCATTTGTCCACAAAGTCAACATTTTTCTTCCTGTCACAGAGTTCACTCTCCCCACAAAGCAGCTCAAATTACAGGTTTATTTTCTGCTCTTCCTGAAGAGAATAAAAATGAAGAAAGTACGTTTTCACCTCATTCTATCATTTGGCAGCAACAATGAAATTATTGGTCTTGTTTACTGTGCAAAGATGAGTTTATTACCTTAACTGCTGGCTGGCCGTGGGCCCTGTTGACTTACATTTGAATACAGAGCCTCACAGGGGACTGTTGGCGTGTTACTGAGCTGTTTAATAATAATAAAGACCTGATGATAGTTCTAAACTATATTTCTGAGTCCAGTGGAAAACTGTACATGTTTGTGTTTTAGTTTAACTTGTTTCAGGAACACCTCTGCAGAAAACACAGCTCTCCTCCCACAGATGGATCCATGTGTGAAACACCAAGCTGTAAACATTGTAATTCACAAGGTTCTAGTACAGGACTTTTACAGCCAGTTCAATAAAGCTGCGTTGTCACTGAAAAGTGGGACTTGAGTCAGTTCTCGTCTTATCGGTTCTCCTCGGATGTAGGTGAACTGTGACTTGTTGCCCCGCTCTGTGGACGAGCATCGTACCAGGTCATTGTGTGTGACGCTCCGGTGAGATCATTTTCTGTGACAGTCAGTCGTGGAAGATTTCAAGCTTCCATTACTGAACTCTAGAAAAAACAAACTACAAACCCACACTCTGCCTTCTGCAGCGATTGGACAGGAAATGGAGGTTCAGATGTAGTCTGCAGTTTTGCTGGGTGGATCATCCAGTGACGTAGCTCTGCTGGCCAATCAGTGGCTGCTGCCTGCTGGTGTCAAAACAGTCACCTTGGAGCAGTTCACTGAACCACGAACAAGGTGGTCCCATAAACTGGGCTGAGCGGGGGTGGGTACTGGCAGTGGGCAGGCCCCTGACTGGTGCAGAGTGGCGTAGAACCGATGAGTACAGACACAGTGAGTTAGCGCCATAAGTCTAGATGTGTGTGAAGTAAACGCTCAAAGCTTTTAGATGTTAGCGCAGGAGGAGGACTACAAAATAAAGCTCTCCTCATCAACATGATAATTTGGATGAGACCAAAAAGAAGGAGGGCACATCCTCATCATGTTACAAATAAAGACAAATGTTTATGAACACCAGGTCTGCATAACATGTCCAGCTGGCTTGAATTACAAGTTTTACAAGAATAAAGATTTAGAACAACGTCTGCTCTCAGGAAGTTTGTCCAGTACAGTTCCTTGTTCTGGGTATTCTCTCTTTTGTGATCTATTTCTGGCCTACATGGGAATGTGGGGGAGAGTGGGGAAAGGGATAAGTAACATTACACAGTGAGCCTGTGTGTGTTTGGATAAGAACAGAAATAGTCTCTTGAATTTTCAGTGATTTACTAATCTTCATGAGTAGACTAGGTTAAGTTGAAGCTTGAGGTGATTTAAGCCGTTACCTTTAAGACAAAGTGTGTATTTTGTTTTATTTCAGTAGCTAACAGCAAATTTCTAAGTTATCGAGCTAAAGATGTGAACACAGCTTCAGTAAAGTTTGCAGACGTGATTTGTGACAGTGACAACCAACAGAGCAGCGTACCTCGTCACCACGGATGACCTCTTCTCCGTACAAGCCTTGAGTCTGGCTCGTTCTCTGCTTCAGCTCTCTTTCTGCAGCGGCCAGCTCCTCCCTCGCCTCCTGAAGCTCCTCTGCCTTCGACTCCTTCTTTCTAAAGATGATAGAGGCCTACAAGAGCCATGTTGTGTTAGATACACCAACAAGAAAGAAGTGCTTTTCCTGAGAGCGTTTCACCCATCAGGTCTGACTGAACGCAGTTTGGTTATCATGGATGCTCTTAGAACGACAAACAAAATAGGAGATATTTACAAGAAAAAAACTAGAACTTTGCTTTCTCAACCATTTTGCTAACACAACAGTGACAAGAACATTTAGAACTAATAGGAGAGGAACATACACAGTATTTGCATATTTACAAAAACAATAAAAAAAAATTCCAGTCAATGGTTTAGAGAAAAACAAAAATCTTTTTTATACAAATAAATTAAGTCAAGAGGGAATACTTAATTCCCCATGGCATTGTAGTCAGATTCCTTAAGTCCAGTTCACACGAGACAAAAGAAACAAGAAAAGAGCAAGAGGTGTAGAAACTGTAAAAAAGTCAGCACCTGCTGCCTATAAAGGGTCAGCTTGTCATCTATGGGGTCATTCCTCATCATCCTCTTCTCAATAAGATGGTTTATTTGAGAATCAACGCCTCTGATCTATGAGAGAGCACGTTAAAGGACATTCAGAACACACCAGAACCTTGCAGCATATAATGCTGTAACACATAGCACCCCATCCTGGTCTGGACCTTGTCCTCCAGCTCCTGGAGATCAGCATGGCCCATCGCAGGCTCTGAGGACACTTTCTGAAGGTACTGCACTGTGCACCTCATGCCCTCCAGCTCTTTGGGAAGCTTCTCAGACACCATGTAGGAGTTGATCTTGATCTTTTCCTCCAGTCTCTTCATTAAGCCTGAAAAATACAAAAGCTTCACATGTCAGAAACTCAGCTCAGCTGAGACCAGCATAATTACAAATATGTATTATTTAACCTTCATAAAACTTAAAGGAAGAAACCAATGTTCCTGAGGAAGTGATACTAAAACAAACAACGACTCTACACACCCCAGTCCATTACATTTTTGGAACTACACATGCAGCAATTGCACTTCAGAGCAGATCAACCTCCTTCTGCAACGTACAGATCATTTTAGAAAGTGTTAATGTGTAAATCTCTGTGGCTGAAAAGGCCAGCGCTAAATGAGAACAAAATTAGACTAGTTCCACGTCTGATCACGTCTATTACAGCCTGTGAAAGATCAACGTAATGACAAGGTCTTAAGGTATGAATGTCTATCAGCTGAGCTGCCCGTCTCACAACGTGTGCTGCCTCTGAACTTCCTGCCCAGCTGTAGTGACGGTTACTCACTCTCTGGGTTAGCATCTGCTGCTGCTTGTCGCAGGTCCTTTAACTGCTGCTGCAGCCTCAGCAGCCTCTGCTCCGCCTGAAACAGCTGAATACACAAAGAGCACAGTTTACTACTGATGTGAACTGATTCCTGTTTCCTGGATTACCTGCTCAATATATACTGCAGGTATACAGAGAAAAGTTAGGTTTCTTTATGTTGTGTGACACTATCTTTCATGATGGACTTCTAATGTCAGCCGTAAGTTTTGATGTTCACACTCTAGGACTAACTCTTAAAGCCACTACAGATCCAGTTCATAAAGGGAAAATAAATCCTGGACGTCAATAAAACAGCAAAAGTTGTTGTTTTTTGAGAGTTATACCAAGTGATCATTTAAAAACAAAGCCCCACTAAACACAATTTATTTTTATTTTATAGTGGTTTGTTTTACTATTTTGTATACAGGGGTAGACAGAAGGAAATTTTCCAGGATGTCCAGTGGACAACCTCTTGACAAAATCTGGTTGTCTGCAACCTTTACAATAAAGAAGGTGAGAGACCTCAACAAAACTGTCATTCCTTAAATATATTGTAGTACTATATACAAAGTTTACTATATACTAATGTTCTCAGTCAGCCATCTTGTGGCCTGTTTGGAGATTCCAAGCTACTGAGAGGCAGACTCTCTCAGGAGCTGCTGGAGGGGACCTTCCTCGTTCTCCTCCTCATCCTCCTCCTCATCAGACTTTAAAAGAGCAACGTGTACTTTTTTACTGGCAGAGTATTTAAGGCAGAGATAAAAACGGAAACTAATTTTTTGACTGAAGTTCTTCAACACTAGAGGTTACCACAGCACCTAGTATAGGTATATAGTATAATGTACAACATGATCTTAGTAAAAGTACACAGTATACTGTGCACACGACCTTAGTAAAAGTACACAGTATACTGTGCACACGACCTTAGTAAGAGTACACAGTACAGTGTTCTCTAATGAAGCACCATCCAGACCAACTTCGTTCTGAAGGAAGAGACGTTTGAACTTTTCTCTAATTAACTTTTGTCTTTTAAGTGTTTTCAACGGAGGGGTCATCAGATACGCAGGTATTTAGAAAAATTATAGGACAGGAAGTCCTTTTCAATTAACTTTCAATTATTTATTTTAATTTGCCAGACTGACAAGTTTCTCTTCTAAAATGATTATTTCATTCAAAGGGGATATATTGACAGGATTTTAGCTCATGTAGTTGTTTAATACTATTTATTTTTCACATTTGATCATTTATTACATTACATTTATCACCGTAGTTACCTCTCAGTATGTTTCTACATATAATCAAGTTGAGCTCATCCAAACAGACGCAGCACCTTATTGTTGTTAAAACACAAAGTAGAAATGGATTTATCAGATATTTATGATAAACTACAAACACATGAAACTCTCTCAGAGAACTTCATGAATTTAAGGTAAAAAAAAAGTTAAAGAGAGACACACATCTTTGATTTAAACCGGGACATATAAATATTCATCTTTTAGTGTTAATGTTGTTAAACGATTAGAAGTGAAGCAGCAGAAACAGCCTCTCTCACTGAGAGACACTCAGGCTGAGCGCGCTCCCACGACTGTGCACGTCTCTCTCTGACCCAGAGTTCGATCACGCGTGTAGGTTGCACATGCATGTGTGATGATGACGCCGCTTCAAGAACATTAACGTTTAATTCAAAGTTAGACTCTCAAGGAGGTTGGGGCACGGTGCGGGAGAAAAGGGTGGGGGTGATGGTGTATCAGTTCTGGTATCTCCTCCAGCTACTGTGAACTGGTCACGTGTGAACACGTATATTTAATACGTATGTTTAATACAGTAATTTATGACATGTCTTCACCTTCAGTTAGTGTTGCGGGGTGTCCTGCTTGGAAATAGTCCAGAAAACACTGACTGGTGCACTCACCTGCAGTCTGTCTCCAAGTTGGGGACACTGCACACACCTGCTGTGTATCAGACTGAACTCGCTCTGCTCTGACTGGGTCAAACTGTGGCTCTGGTTCTCTTTACTGGTGGAAAGCAGCATCAGCTTAATCTCTGTATCATAATTAGATTGGTGGCTGTGGAAAGAGATGTCTGGGTCTTCCTGCTCAAGCTGCTGCCCCCACGACCCGACTTCAGAATAAGCTGAAGATGATGGATGGATAATTAGATTGGATGGTTTTAACAAGATCAAAACAAAACACGTTTTTTCTCCACTTTCATTTTTAAAAATGAAGGAAATCTGTCCCAGCGATGGAGGACTTTAATACATGTCTTGGGTGTCCAAGTGAGGCAACCATTGAGCCGTCCCTCCGCCCCAGTCAAAAACTGTGGGTACTGCGTGCAACACAGACGTGTCTCTGTCTCCACACAACCCCCCACCCCAGCTTGACAAACATCATGGCAGAGATGAGCACCCTGCCAAGGCAAGTAAGGGAACCACTGTAAAGGCTGTGTTAACATCATAGTATCTGAGAGGCTTTTATATAGAAAGGTTATCTTTTTTATATTTAAACATTTTTAACAAAATAAAATTGCTAATATAAATAAACTTTTACACATCACGTCAATGACCCATCACAACCAAAATAACTGCACAAGACAGTTTAAGTTTGTAACTTTTAAGATGACTAAAAAGTTTTACACAGTGTCAATTCTCTCAGTGAAAGTTAATCAAATTGTTTTTTTTAATTTATGGTTACTACTACCGTATATGTTTTTGATTTCTGGAAAATGCATTAAAAATTAGGAACTGATATGAAAGAGAAGAACATTTCAGCTGTCTGAGTCTTCCTAAAATTTATAAAAAAAAGTATTACTTTAGGCTGCTTTTAAGCAGACATTGTTTTATTGAACTTAAAAAAAAACATATTAAAATATACTAATATATTGATAAACTAAAAGAAATCTTAAGGCCATACCTGATTCTTCTGTTCTTTCTTTTGGTGAGTCAGGGACTCCTCTTTCTCCTTTTCCACTCGCAGCTGTCTGGCCTGCTCCAACATCCGCTGATGGTTGGACACTGACTCCACCTAGCGGATCAACAAGTAACATGATCTAATGTGCACCGACAGGCTGGCAGAAATACCCAAGCCACTCTGACAGGGTTAGATTTCACCTTTTGGCAGGGCCCATAAGTAAGTCCCTTTAAATCAACACCTTATTACCCGACAGTCTTGTTAGGACATTCTTACAACCTGTTAGCTGCCTGTTGGGTCTCACAGTGAAACTGATACAGGTTTGTCTTCATTCCAAAGTAAACCCTAAATCCTACTGCATTACCAACAGTCGACCGTACCCTCTTCCTCAGCCTCTCCACACGTTTGATTAGTTGATCTTTTTCATCCTCCATGGCACTGATGTCCTAATGACAAACACACACAAATTAAATGTTGTAGCAGTTCTTATCAGCTAAGTTCAAACAAAGTTCAACAGGCATTTACTTTCATTAACAGAGAGAGAAAGTTTTCTATAACTTTTTTAAAGGGATCTCCGATTACCTGCACAATTTAGCCTTCATGTGTTATTTATTTTACAAAAACTTGTTGTATGTGACGTGTGAAAACTCCTAATTACTTCAAAAATTATGTTTATCACATTTTTCATCTAAGAATGTCAACATTATTTTACCAGCACAATGCATTCTGGGGGGATGATGTAAATCAGTTGTAGTGGAGATGAAAGCACAAGGAGTCAAGGATAAAAACTTATGTGACAATAAAGTTACATTTTGTGTTAGTCCTTATGCATAATATTTGGGTCAAAACACTCAAACGTGATGAACTTGGGATGTTCACTTCATTAGCTGTGGAGCTAACGGTCATAACACACACACACACAGCAGTATGTATATATATATATATATATACACACACACACACATGTATGTACACATTTTATATATATATACATTATCTCTGGAACTAATGCCATTATCTCCTTTGCAAACACTAAATATGTTCTTTCTGGATCTAACACCATATACATAA